AGAAGCATAAGTATTTTCACTTTCAAATGACTGGAGTGGAACACTGTACAGCAGGATGTGCCATGAGATGAAGTAATTGATTTCTACCCCTGCTTTCATAGGGCTTTCACTAAGATGGCTTCAGCTCCAACCAGCTATGGAAACTCTACGCCTAAACCTTTGGGGTATGTTTTTGATTAATTGTCAGTTTCTGGTTTACTTTAGTAGTACTGAAAGTGTAGGTTTATTTTAGTAGTACTCAAAGTGTACAGAGGGATGTAGCCTCGAATAAAACACTTCCCTATTTGAAAAATTTGTTTTTTAAATTAACAGTGCCTGGGTCTTGCATAAAAAGAAACCAAAAAAGGGATATATGGCTAAATCCAGAAAGTAACTTAATATAGTGATTCCTGTTACCTTCACATGAAGTGTACGGGCTGTCATAGGAGAATTCAGCAAGAAACTAAGACAGCCAGCATGCGTAGCCTTATTTAATCCATAGCAGGAAACAAAAACAACCCTGTGTATTCAAAATGGGTCATCTGTAGGGCAGGAAGCAAGAATGCTCTTACTTTTCTTAGGATCTCCTGGAGAGAGTGTAGTTGGTTATTTTAAGACACAGAATGAAAAGGTAAGGCTGTACATAACCCATAGAAATTCCCTGCTACCAGCTGTATGTTCAGAAGTGTGCTGTCATAAGGAGACTGTCACAGTACAGTTACTGATTTTTCCCATGTCGGTATCAGAATTCTTTCTGTTTTCTTAGGTTGGAAAAAGAAAGAAATGGAGCATTCAAATCGTTCTAGTACTGAAGGCTTTAACTGTTGAGTGGATCAGAGAGTAGAACACAAGGCTCCTATTGATAGCTGAGAATCTAACTGCTAAATTTTAGGTGTATTCCCAAACACTTGGTTGCCATGCAGTTTGAAAAATAGCTTATTTCATGAAAAACTGAATTAGTACCTTTGTTGCATTGGCTTTAATAGGAATTGGATATTAATTTTAAGCTTAAAATTATATGGTTTTTTTTTTTTCACTTGCAATGTTGTTTTGGTTTTCAGTCTGTTTTCACGTGTTATGAATACAGGATCACAATTTGTGATGGAAGGCGTGAAGAACTTGGTACTGAAGCAACAAGTAAGTTTATAGACTGTGCATTGTCAAGCAATTGTGAACACTGAGGAAAATGATTTTTGTTTCTTCTGTTGTGCTATGAGGCCTGCTCTGAAAGTAATGCCTTCTGTATTCTGTTATGGTGGCCCAGAGTGGCAGAGGAGGAGTCTGGAAAAAATGGCACCCATGGTCACTTAGTGTTGTTTGCTGAATGTTTGTGGAGACCAAACAGTGGATGTGAGCTCAGTGAGGCCATGGGTGGTCAGTTTCAGCAGTGCAACAGCAGGTCCCCTCCAGTGGATTTTTACAAGTGTGGTTGTAGGCTCTTGTTCGTGGCTGACAAAAACACAGAGCTGATGTAGACTGTGTTGAGAACAGTGCTTTGTAGATAAGGATTTCCTCTGTTAACAGAGTTCTTCTCTTCGTATCTGTTGTAGTTTCCGGGGAAATAAACAGGAGGTGCCATTTTCAGCATGACCCATGTTTATTCTGCAGATTAGTAATTCATAATGCAAAATTAAGTTTTTGCCCTGGATGTGGTGAATTTGTATTGGAAGTTACATAGGTGGTTGATTATAATCATAGAATCATTAAGATTGGAAAAGACCTAAGATCATCTAGTCTGTCAGGAAAAGAACTTTACTGATATAATTATGAAGTAGTGTCCTAGAAACCTCCAGCTGACAGAAGTCTTAACATACTGAGACTCCACTTATCTACTTAAATATGTTTACTAAAGAGGAAGAAAAATTCTTCCATGAAGGCTTCCTATTAGCTGTAATAAAAGGACTGAAGCAGAATATTGCACTTGTTTTGGTAGTCACTGTTCTACTAAAATTGGATGAAGTACATTTTCTAAAATTCGGAAGCATTATGTTGCTATTGAAACTGAATTAGAACTAGCAGCAAAAAATAATGTTTGCCAACATGATTCCAGGATATTATTTTGCATTACAGGTTAAATCCTTAAAGTGTTGTAGGCTAGTGCAGTTACTGAGTTCCTAATCTGGCTTGGTATTTGTATTGCCCACTGGAAAACACCTCTAGATGTGAGACTTTTCTCAGCTGAGCAGAGGGTTAGTTTGGCTTACAGAAAGCACTGTTTATTACGTGTATCTCAGGCAATTTGGTGTGTCTGCACTATCTGCTATTACATCTTATGTTGTGGTTGCCTCCTCCTTGGAGGCATTCAAGGCCAGGCTGGATAGGGCTTTGAACAACCTGGTCTGGTACGAGGTATCCCTGCCTATAGCAGGGGGTTGGAATTGGATGATCTTAAAGGTCCCTTCCAGCCCAAACCATTCTATCTGCCAGTGCTACTCTGACTTCCACACACACTTTTGGAAACTGAAGTTCCCCTGGAACTAGTAAATAATATAATACAAGACGGTCAAAGGACTTGATGCCATAACTGTTAGAAATTACAGTAGTTAGCTAACTGTACTGTTATGTCCATAAATGACATATTCACTATCAGTACATTGTATAGACCATTGGCACCAGGAGAATTTAAAGTTCCTGGAGTTCCTTTCCCAGTGAGCAGCAGAAATGCTGTTGTGATTGACTGTTACAATGGCAGTTTGTTCCAATGTGAATTTAATAGAACATGGCTTAGGGATATAGAATTTCTAAGCTGAGGTTCTTGGAATGTGCAGAAGTGAGAAATAAATAGTGCTTTCTACCTGTTAGCTGAAATTTAGCCAGTCTTTTTTTTTTTTTAAAAAAAAAAGGCACCTAGGAGAAGAGCCTTGATCAATAAGCTGAACATTGCTAAGCATTTCCATCGTGTAACATTGTGAAGCCTACGAAGTAAACATTCTTGTGTTTCCAGTGTTGGAAGGTTCTCAGATGGCAGTGCTTATACAGCTGTGCAGTATATGTTCATGATGGCACTTCATTATGAACAGGTGCCCATGGAATTTCCAGAATTCTGAAGTGAAGCTGGCAGCTTCTTGAAACAAAGAAGTTGGGGTGGGAGGGGGTCTCATGTTGAGTGTTGACTGCTGAGGAAGCACTTTAGCTTTGAGAAGTAATTATTTAAAAAAATAAAAGATTGCAGTACCATCACCTGAATTAGACAGTCATTGTCTACTTCGGTGCTGTTCAGCTACTTCAAAACACGAGCCAAACATTTTAAAGTAGTGTTTCAAATGTTCTGTTGATTGTCCTATGAATAAGGCTTAGCAAGCAATTGAGTATTTCATTAATTTCATGTTTTGTTTTGTAGAACCTACCAGTCACACGTATATTGGACAACCTTATGGAGATGAAGTCAAACCCAGTGAGTATAACTGCTTTCACATAGGAGATAATTGTCAAATAGGTAATTGTCAAAGAGGTAATATGTCCAATGAAATCTTTAGGCTTTGTAATGGTAATATACCGAACTTATTCTTTGTTTACAATAATGCAGTGCTTTATTTCACCAATAGAAACATTGACATAATTATTCCGTACAATTTATTTAGCATAAAAGTACATTAATCATGACACTTGATGGTGTTTCAAACTGTCTTTTTTTATTGGGGAGGAGGAAAGGCCTAGACTGAACTTTTGCATTATACTGATCTTCTGTTACTCCTGAATTTGTAGAGGTTAAACAATGGTCTGAAATTGTTCTTGAATCAGAGGGATTTCTTTTAAGAGCACAGTATTAAAACTTAAGTAGATACGAACAGGGTTAGTACAGAAAGTCTTCCTTCCCTCATCTTTGAAACTTTGCTGTTTAGAGCAAAATGTTTTAGCAGTCTTTCACTTGAAACCAGTTTGGTTGATTGCTTTGTCAGGAAAGTCCACTCTTCCCGTTGTTCCTGTGAAATCTTAAATTTGCCAAAGTTAACAAAGCTTTGATTCTGCACAGTCAACACGAGTGCTAGAATGTACAGCTAAAAATAGCCAGAAATCTTTTGTCTAAGCCTTTTTTTTTTAATTCCTTCAATGAATCATTGATGACCATCCTGTACATAAGATAGTAATAGGATGTGGCAGACGCTCAAAGTTTAAAAATAGCTTTGAAAAAAAAAAAAAAAAATGACTTTCAGGTGATTTTTTTCAGAACAACCTTAATGCCTGTTTCTCATTTTAATGACATCATAATCACACGAGATATAAAAACAGTAATGTCTCACATTAGTTATGTAGAGGTATGATACTACAAAAATAAATGTAGTACAAAGAACACATGGATTTTTGCAATTCTAGCTGAATTTTTGCATTATTCAGAGCTGGTCTGCTTGTGCCATTTGTATCCAGCAGTCCATCTTTAACAGTGTGTGCCTGTTTGAGTTAGCCGTTCACTTGTCAGCTCTTCTGAGCTATCCAGGACGAACAGGTTTCAGGGTGGGCTCCACACTGCAGTGGTTATGACAGAAACATAGGTAGGTGTGCATGGAAAGTAGCAAAATACAGTAGATTTAGTATAGTCTACTTGCTGCTTCAGATATTAGCAATATGGAGAGGCAGGTAAATAATAGAAGCAGAGGTAAATAACCAATCTATAAGTAGCTTTTCTTAATTGTACTTTATAGGTAGTGAGTCATGATTGTTAAGTGGAAATAAATAGGTGTTATTTTCAGCAGCAGAGTAGATTGCTGTCCCTATTTGTAGGACTTTGAGAAGATGTACAGGGTTAATGTATCTGGTCAACCAGTAGAGGTCACTCAGAACACTTAATACGGAAATCAGAAGTTAAAAACTGGTAGGTGAAAACAAACAAAATTTTAAAATAAATGCCAGCTTCCTCTGGCTCCAAGTTTAGGGATTTAGCTGGAGAAGTTTACAATTCATAGATTCTCTTCTTGCTGATGTGACGCTCTCACCTTGTAGTCAGAGAAGGCAGCCAAGATCACTTTGCTAGTGTAATACAATGGAAAGTGCAGCAAGTGACAGCTGAGCAGCAAGGTCCCAGGCTGATCAAGTGAGGACTTAATCAAATCTAACAGCCACAGAAACAGAGGAAGGAAGCTCTTACCTTTAGAAGGCCTCAGGTAGACAGGGATCTCCAGCAAGAGATGCCCTCATCTCTACTGCTGACTCTTAAATGAAGTCTAGGAAGGGGTGGATTCTGGTCACTCAGGTGCACTGCATCCACCTGAGCTCCCCTGGGTTGGCCCTGCCTTCCCACCAGCTGCTCAGTAATTGCTTCAGGCTGTGACTTTGCATTTCTGCTACAGCGATCCTCAAGAAAACTCTGATCTTCTCACTTGAAAAAGGAAAGATTGTTTCAGTCTGTTAGGTTAAGTTGGTTCTCTACCATGTCAAAGATGAGAATACCTGATCCAAAACAGGAAGTCCTACCTTGCAAGTCATAGGAGACCATGCAAGCCTTTAAGGAGGAGTCCTAACACATATTCTTTGAGTAAGTAAATTCAAGAAGGAAAATAAACACAACGCGTTGCTATTTGTTGGCCACTTTTCCAGTGTCAATTTAGTATTTATTTAATTTTATGCCCACAGGAGAGATACTCAGAAGTAATAATGAAAAAATGTTTTTGATCTAATTTAACTCTTATAATTAGAAGGAATTATGGACTAATGCCTGAAATAGAATCAGAGATTCCCTGCTGAAGTTTTCTCAAATATGTCTCAGTGCCATTTAGTGCTTTCCACATGTTTCTAGCTCTCACTTTTTAGAGTTGCTGTACCACCACTACAAACCAGGCTCCAAGGTCATGAATGGGGGCAGACTTGGTGACTGTCGCTGAAATTTCCATTGCAGAGTATAAATGCATTTATTTATATAGTCAGTGTGAAATTAAATTTAAAATTAAATTCTTTAATAAGATACATGTGAGGATATTTGTTTTATATAATTGCAAAGGTTCTTAATATCAAATTATATTTTCTTTATGTCTAACTGCTGCATGTATATTAAGTATTTTGTAATATTACGTATAGATTTACCTTGTGTGCACTAGTAAATCCTACAGCTAGTTTTCTACCACTAGAAGATTATTTGTTCCACAGAACGCAGAGATCTTGCTTGTAAGCACCCAGCTGAAATCCAGTTCAGACTCACATATGCTTCATCCATAATGTAAAATACCTGGATGAAACTGTAGTATAGAAACAGAATAAAGCCAAGCAGTTGTCAGAAACAGTTATTAAGAAGCTTTGTTTTTCATCTGTAAGACTTGGTAAAAACCCTGCTTGTTGCCAGTAAAAATATTGGAAGTGCCTCACTGTTTTGCATGAAGAAAAAAAAAAACTTTTATAGTTTAGACAGTCAAACTTTTCAAATTCTTGTGGAACTCATTTCTTCCTCACAAGCTTAATTTTGGTTTAATAGCAGTCATAAATCATGAAATGAAAAGGGTAAGTTTCGTAACAGTAGCAGATTTTGATCTATCTTGTATTTTGTATTCATTGCCTTAGAAGTGTTTTGGTTTATGGTATTAAATCACCAGCAGATCTCTGTAACCTGGAAAACGTTAGCATTTGTAAGTCAGTCACAACTAACTGCCTGATGTTCTAAAGCTGGTGACAGCTTAATCTTTCTTTCTACATATTGCTTTTCTGTGGGGATTTATTATGCAACCAACCGAAGTATGTCTTGGAAATTGTGTAACAATCAAGTGTAGCTGAATCAGAAACAGTTTATCTCTGTTTATGCTTCCCTGGTTCAGTTATGTACAAATATTATGTGCGCACACCCCAATTAACTTGGAGTGATGCATCTGCTGGAATTGGAAAATCATGGAGGTTTGACTGATTGCCATTTCATGGAACAAAAGCAGAAATTCATGAGCCTAAATCCATGTCTTTTGAGATTTAAACATTCCTTTGAATAGGAGACAGATGACTACCGATACTTTGACCCCAAGATGCTACGGGGCAGTGACAGGTGAGTCTACTCTCAGTTTTGCTCATTTTCTTCTCTGGGAAAAGGCTAACTTGAAATAATTGTTATGTTATTGCTGAATCTATAAGATCTCTAACTGTTCTTTTTAAGACAAGATGGTTGATATGGAAGGAAATCACAACTGAAACCTGGATCAACCACATATGTTTCTGTCAAAAAGAAAATCCTTGTTCCAGTGACTGTGCTGCTAATTTGTACACCAGTCACAGGAATGTGTAATGGTATTTAATAGTAATTAAAGTTAGAATTTTTTTTAAAATACTGCTTGGTTTCTTTGAAACTGTTTTTACACCGTTAAATTAAAAAGTCACTGAGCAGCCCACCAAAATTTCAATTCAATTTCAAAATTCAATTTGAGTACAACCCTGTTTAGTGATCATTCAGTAGGTCTTTGAAAACGAAACAGGCTGCGTTTGCTCCTGTATAGACAGGTGCACATGTAAGTTCATGTGTTCATACATGAAGGGGCAGTCACTTCACTGGTAAATTGTAAGAATGAAAGAGGAATTGCACTAGAAGTTTACAGGCTTCTGTCTTCTGCTTCTGGGAGCAGTATCCATGCCTGATAACCTTGCTTCTAATATTGTAGATAACAGACTGTAATTTTAACATGCCTTCTAAAAACTCAGCTGTGGGAGAGCTATTGGCTCATTTAATTTTAGAGGTTTATTACTCAGTGGATATATACCCCTGCTTTTAGTTATTTGCATTAAATAAGAATTTCATCTGTCCAGCTTCCATCTGTTCTTGAATCATGGAAATTAAATTTCCAATAGCATTAAGTAATAATGGGAAGCAAATTTCAAAGAATATGAATGTGAAGTATTATCACAGCTGCACTGCAACTCTTTTTCATGCTGCTTTTATAACATTTTGAGGATTTTTCTCTACCACCTGAACTTCTTTGTCATTTCAATTCTGATGTTGCTGTAACTGATAATCACTTCTGGGATTCTGAAGCATCTGTAAGCAGAAGTGCAGGCATCACATAGATGCTGATCGCATTGATGCAGTTGTTACTCCTGTGTCTCTCACTGTGGTTGTGCTCCTAGCTAGCAGCACTGGAGTTTTGAGCATAAAAGAAGCACTGTTATAAAACTCATGATTCAACCTTAAAACTGAGGAAGGTAAAGCTATTCACGTTGTGTATGTGTTCCTATAAATGATTATTTTTCATGAAAAATAATTCAATAATAGCTTTGAACAATACTTGCCTTTCTGCATTGTTCTTCACATTTTTGTCTAATATAGTTTCGAATTCCATAAACACGGGTATTAGTACTAAGAATGCTGATATAAACATAAATGTCTAATAAGATTTAAGTTGTAGGTGTTTTTCTTTCTTTATAGCTCAGTTCCACGAAACAAAAATCCATTCCAGGAGGTGAGTCGTGTACAAGTTACTTGTCAGTGTGCATGTATTAAAAAAAAAAAAAAAAGGAAAATAGCATTTTTTGGTAATAAAGAAGAGACCTTGCTTTGCAAGAATCGCTTATTTTGCTTACCTCTAGTATTAATTGCAGTGAGCTGCCATTCTGAAAATGTCTCTCCATCTTCAGTGAGCTGTGTAAGCGTTAAATAACAGTGAAGGAAAAAAAATATCTCAAAAATGCTTCTGGAGATAACTATAGTAATAACACCATATTTGGGTACTCAGTAATTTAACACCCCTATTTTTATACTAGACCTTTACAGTGCTCTCTAAATTTAATTCTTTTTTCAGTCATGAACAATAGTGTTGGCTATGAACTTAAGTGAGACTTCTTTAAGCAACCTCTGTGATTTAAGGAAACAATTCACAAAAGCAGCAGAACAGCTCCTGCTGCCACATGCTCCTTTTTCATTTCCTACAACTGCCAGTAAAGTTTGGTATTTTTCAACAGAAATGTTTACAAATAGAAGACTTACTTACCTGTTCATTACTAAGTTTGCCTCAGCACTGTGTGCACGTCCCCAAATTTTCTGGATGATTTAATTCTCCTCCTGTGCAAAAAAAAAAAAACCAAACATTTCTGTGTCACAAGGATCTGCCATAGCAAAAATGATAGAGATAGAGGCTACATCAGACAATACTGGATAGTGAATTGTTAATTCAAAGAATGGAACTGTTACATTTCCTTATTCTATTCATTAATTGTTCAACATGTTTTAAATATAGCCCAGGAAATACTGATGCCTTTTGTACTGTGTCTCAGTACTAAGTAGGAAGGGGAAAGACAATGAAGAAGTGTTCTTTTAATAAATAGAAATATTTTGTTTTTCAAATTAGTTTGCAAGCATCCACAAAAATACTCCAGCTGCTCTTGTGGAACTGGAGCCATCTCCACACAAAAATGCAACGTGCTGAAACTGCCTGTTTCACCTATTTCGTAGTAGGACAAAGAATTATGTTAAAATAAGTATTTGTTATTTTGCATCCCAGTAAAACTCTGGTGTTCTTGGAGTGGAGAGCTAGTTAATCTGTGCTGGGTTCTTATTAGAAAGAAGCATGATGAAGACAGTTTTTGTTGTATTAACTGATGTGGGTATATACTTCACTACTGCAACATTAAGGATTTGATTACATGTTCTGATTATGTTCATGTTGTATTTTAGGCAATAGTCTTCGTAGTTGGTGGAGGCAACTATATTGAATATCAAAATCTTATTGACTACATAAAGGTATGTGCACTTCTGTTTGTAGTTTCTAACTTACTGATACAAACTGTTACATAGTTTCAGTTATAAACAGTTTCAGACACTATTATGAGATATAATTAAGTCTTAGGAAATTCAAGGTTACATTGGTACTATGCATACCATGCAGGGAAAAAGTATGTAAGAATTCAGTAGAAAACAGGGATGATAATTTCAGAATGCTAGTTATTGTTTCCGGCATTTTCGTTCATGTTGCGTTTCTGACTGCAAGCAGTTTGCCACCTATCAAAGCAAGGATCACCTTTGCATCCATCTCTTAATGCTTCTTACTTGGCTACGTTTAGAAGTTTAGAAGTAACAGGCAGCTCATTCTCAGCATGCTGGATCATGTGATTTGTGTAGAAATCATGTGATGTGCAAAGGAAAAAAAAATATGGAACCAACTGTATAAGTGATGCGGGAGGTAAAGAGATCTGAAGTCTCTAGTTCCACCTGGCCAGCCTAAACAGAATGGACGTACACCAAAAGCAGCAGCTGAAAAAAAAAAAAAACAACATGTTTAGAATTCCTTTGGGAGCAGAAATGAGGTAGAAGCACTTTCCAGATGTAAATAGGAAGCAAAGGAAAACTTGATGAAGTTTTGAATTAGGTAAGAGCAGCAAAATACTATTCTTCCTTCTAGATTTTACCTTGCTGTGCTTCTCTCTAGATCAAGGCTTTTCCCTGAAAATAATACATATGCAACATTAGTAACAGAAAAGTATTTTTTCACGTGCCAAGACCTGAGAGTTTTACATTCTTGTTCCAGTATATCTTGCAGAACATGAAGTCAGAACTGCACATGGCTGTTTTTTCCTCCTTTAGCGGGCAGCTGTTTTGGAACAGAACTGGTCAGAATTGGGAAAAAGAGAGGAAAAGGAAAGTTACACAGTTGTGGGGTACAAGGAGAGGACAGGAGGACCAAAAATTTCAGAGACATTGACAGAGATTAGACATGCAGTTTAAGCTGAAATGTGCTGTACATTTCTCCAGACTATTTCAGCAGTGGGTTATGACCTTGCAATAGGGAAGTCTCCTTCACCTGTGCTTGGTTAGCCCCTCGCTTCTGAAAAACAAAGAGAAGTTACTGAAAACTTGATTCCATTCACCCTTCTCCCAGGAGACTTGCCCACCTCACCAGATGGCTCTTCCAGGCTTAGCCAGTGCAGCTTGGCACACTTCCATGCATGTGATGTAGTTCCAGCATCTGTTGTCTCACCAGATGTAGCTTATTAATTATTCTAAAATTCAATCAGTTTTCCTTCAGACTAAAAAGGAAGAAAAAACCCAACAGGTCTGTCCTCGCAAGCAGATACAAAGATTTTATTCACTGCTTTATTTTTTTAAGCACTATCAGTTTTTACCAGTTTGCCACTGAAAACACAGAAAATCTGTGAAAGCTTTCTGAAACAGGAAGCAGTGTTCAGCTTTGGCATTTTGGGGGTTTTTGTAGGAGACTTAACCCTTAAACCCAGTTATTTTCAGTTCTGTGCTAGAATCTCACTTCATCATAAATCAAATATTGTTCATAGTTAGGAAGATTGTACCTTGAAAAACATACATTGGCCAACAACGTGCTGAAAATGCATCACCAAAACTTCAAAGCACAAAGAAATCTGGCTTGTTCTTTTGTTTTTAACAATATATGAAAGGAAATAAGTACTGCCTGACTGCCTGCCTCAGCTAGACATTATCATTTTGCACAACAAAATCAAATTCTGCACAGCTTTAAAAAAAAACAAAACAACAAGCTCTGGTATTGCATAATTTACAAGGCTAAGCAGCTTCAGCTTGGCTCCACTAACTTCTGGGTGATACATCTAACCTTGGAGCATGGATATGCTTGTATTCAAAAATTACACTTCTAGTAGAATTTGTTTTTATAAGATGGATTTTACAGGAACGTGTATTTTGCAGCCTAAAAAGGCAACAGTCTCGCTTCACAATTGTGCCTAGTGTTTCTTTATGTTTATGTTACTGTGCAGCAGTAAGTGCTACCATTCATATTACAGAAAATAGTGTCAAGATTCCAGTTTAGATCAAAATCAGACCTGTTCAGGCTTCAAGATTAAATGTAGCTGAAAGGTGGGGAGAACCAAGTTCAAGCTTTTGCTTAGTGACAAGAACAACTTATTGCAACAAACCACTCCAAATTAATAAAGATGAGGAGATGAAGCAGGATTACCATCTCCCAAATTAGCACGTGCCCACCAGCCACTGTTAAAATCCAGTTCTGTGACTCTGCTGAAACAGCACAGCTGTTATCAGCTATAAAACAAAATCATTTTGAAGAGGCTCCTCTTCCTGTTTTCCCTTTTTTTAAACAATTTTTAATTTTGTATCAGGAAAACAAAAAAGACGGTGAGTCCTCTTCTGTATTTGTCCTCTCAGTTCCCTGGCTGCTTATCATTTATCACTCATATAGAGCTAGTAAGGTGCTTTCTGTTTGTTTATTGTTGTTTTAAAATCACATCAATGATCAAAAAAAAAAAAAAAACCCACAAAAAAAAACCAAACCCATTCTGACTATAAGGGAAAGTACTCAGTAATTCAATAGTGAGACAGATTGCTGGAGCCTGCACTCGAGCTTTGAGGAGCTGTGGGATTATTAGCCAATGCTGGGCATAAACTCAGTCTAAAACTATGCATTACTTACACCATTTTTTCACTTCTGCAGTGCTGCGCTGTCAGACAAGTACTATCAAACTGCTCACTGCAGGCTAGGATCATTATGTATCCAACTAAATTCAACATAATATTGTTTCAGTTGTTTTGTTTTTTGTTTTTTTTTTTTTTTTAAAAAAAAAGCTTTTTCAAATATGGAAATAATAGAAACTTTCTAGCTCTACCACAGGCAGAGCTGTAGGACTTAAGGATCATGGAGAAATACACTTTTTAGTGTGCAGTTAGTAGAAGCCACTTGCGCTACTCCTAACACTTAATTTCTTCCCATCTTTTCTTTTTCTTAGGGTAAACAAGGCAAACATGTCCTCTATGGCTGCAGTGAACTTTTTAATGCTACACAGTTTATAAAGCAGGTAGGTACTTGTAACAGTAACTCTGTAATACTTGTTACTGTAGTAACTGTGACTTCCCTGACTGGTTTTTAACTTCTATCTCTATGGATTTATGTCTCTGTAAAAACAAATTGATGTGAAAAAATGACACAGTTTTGTTACTGTTCTTCACTATATTTAAATAGGGGGTTTGGAGTCACCGTTGCTAACTTTAGAAGGCCGGTGTTGTCAGTGTGAGTTAACAGGCAATGCATAATGGAATAGTTCTTTGTAACTAGCTTAACATAAAACTATGGGGGGGGGGGGAGGAGGGGGAAATCAGTTCTGAAGTTCTGACACTTTTTTTCCACAAATAGGATCTTTCCAGGCTACTCTAGCAACTCTCCTGAATTAAAAATTGCTATTCAACTGCAGTCTTGAAATCTGTGTTTAAGTTTTGCTGTTTAGGAATACTGGAACTGTGGGAGCTTCAGGTTATCCCCAGTTGTTTTTTTGTTTGTTTGTTTTGTTTTAAAAACAGCATTAAAAAAAAAGTTGTGATGCTGTTACTTCTGACCCTCTCCAGCAGAACTGCAAAATACAAGTTATTCACAGTGCTCAGCCCTCCAGTAGCTGTCACCACCTGTGCTTTTACTGCCTCCCTAAATTATTCAGACCTACATTTTGAAGAACTAAATTCACTAAGGTCTGTTACACATGAAAGAGAAAAAACAAATGCTGCTTACCATCATACAGTTCTTCAATGAGCTCAATTTCCTTGTTTCACCAACCCTGATTGTACATGCCAGACTTAATGCTGAAATTTATTCATATCTCAGGATTTGAAACCTAGAACCTCTTGTGTGGGGTTATGCATTAAATATTCTATCACTTGCATGCCTTTAATTGGTTATTTCTCACAAGGCTTGTAGGACAAAATGTTTACTGTATGCACTGAATGTTAATATGCTGAAAGAATAATGTTACCAACCTAATCATTTCTGTCTCTTCATGTGTAGCTTTCCCAGCTTGGCCAGAATTAAGACTGAAACACCATGACCTGAATGTCACCATGACAAATTAAAGAACTGCTACAGCATTCAGATAACTTCAAATCTGTTATTTTGTCACAATATTAAAACTTACAACAGCTTCGTTAATATATATTCTCAAGAAATCTGTAATTAGTACTGTGTATATCAACATTTCTGAAATAAACCTTAAAACGTGCGATATTTTTGTTGAGCATTAAGTCATATTACTTTCTAAATGCAGTATTAAGTGTGGCTATGACAGAGCTGTCTGATCAACATAGCATTTTCAAGATCTCATAGACAATTTCTGTTCCAGTAAACAAAGCAATATTTTGAAGAAAAGGTCAAGTCTTTCTTCAGGAGCTGTGTTCCTGAAAGCCAGCTATCTTCATTAAACAAAACTGAAATGACAAAACTGCCTTTCAGGACCACAGACAAACAGCCTTAGTGCACGACGACTGCAGCTTCTAGCTGTCACCCTTTAACTTTACCAAAGTCCTTGGTTCTGCACCATCTTCACTCGGTGGTCTGAAGATGTATTTGAAATTACCTTCAGTACAAGTTTTTGATACAGTAGTTTAGCTTTGTCTGTTAAGCTTATGTGTTTTTATTCATCTACTTGTCTAAATAGTTATACAGTTTCAAACTGTAAATCCTTTAATGATTTTCTTCTGCACTTTTTATTGTAATTGCTTTGACTGTTATGTTTGGGAAGAAATCAAGCCCTACTCGTAGTACAGCTGTTTAATAAGTAATTAGTAAGTAATAAGTAACTGTTTAATAAGCACATGTTTAAAACACATTATAACAGTTGCTGTAGGTAGAGCTGGTGCAGGAACAGGCAGCAGTTCAAGGATTTTCATTATATAATTAACGTCTGCCAGTACTGACAGATCCTGAGAGCGTGTACAGGGATTGAGAGAAGACAGCATGATAGATTTGAGTCTCTGCCTCTAGAAATATTCCTTCTGAAAATATCACTTCTGCCTTTCAATAAGAGGTCTAAAGTACTCATAAGTAACAAGGAAACACTTAATGCGGATTTATTAACAAATAGTGACACCCTAAGAATTACTGGTGTACTGTATATGTTTGTCAGCATTTCTTTGCACTATTCTTCAGCATCTGATGCTAATTCTGCTTTAGAAGCAGTACTTTTCCCCTCCCCATAGAATTTTTTTCAGAACATCCACACAAGAAATACAGTTGATCTCTTCCCTAAAAATCACAATGAATGTGTCAGTAAAGATTTATATAAACTAGCCCCTTATCAAAACTCAGTGTTACTTAATTATCTAAGCTGAGTCTTGTAAGATACTTCACATTACTACTTTATACATCCAAGTTTGCCAACTCAATAAATGCATTTATTATGGTGTTAATGATAGTTGTTGTAGTGAATGTTCTCCCATAGATCAGTCAGCAAGGAATGAACGTCACAGTTCATTCTTCTCATTCCCTGCATGTATGCTATCTTTATTTGCGAGAACAGGGTCAAAAACATTTGGAAGAATGACTTCAGTGTAGTTAAATGGAAGCATTCCAAGCCAGGTTTGCTGCCCTGAGCAGCCTGATCTAGTAGGTGGCAACCCTGCCTGTGGCAGTGGGGTTGGAACTCAATAGTTTAAGGTCCCTTCCAACCCAAGCTGTTCTATGATTATTACTTCCTGAGGCAGTTTGTTCCTGAAGCATGAATCATAGAATCACCAAGGATGGAAAAGACCTCCAAGATCATCTAGACCAACTATCCATCAACTACCAACATTTCCAGTAAGATGGGAATGGGTGTTCAGTGCTCTTCTCAGCAAAGCATTGCACAGAAGGAATTTTAGAAAGACCAGAGTTTTTAACTGAAAGACACACCAAACGGCCACCAGGGAGGTACTCTTCATAGACAGTTTTAACCTTGCAGCTGACAACCAAGTTCTGAGAAAAATACACTGATTGCTTTTTGTTCAAAACTCTTGGCAGTCAGTGATACACTGATCCCTGGTCAGTTCTACAGGGAGCTCTCCTAAATCACAGCTTACAGGATTTGTTGCTTCAGCAAGCTATGTAAACAGAAATTGGAAATAAATTAGTTTGGTTTATGTGCTCAGGAACTTAATTTGCAGTCTTTGTACCACAGCTGAAGACAGGTCTAACTGATACCCAGCTTCATAGCCAGATCTTCAGATCTGTTGTATGAACACACACTAGGCAGATAAGACAATTGAAGGCAATTTTAATACTGCAAAC